ATTACAAATAACTTCATTTCTGGACATTTATGGTTTGATTTCTTTGTATGTATGGATCACTTGGGTTGTTACCAACATCTGGTGAAAATTTTATGTCACCAGATGTCATGTTTTACACAGTATATATGCATATGTGTTTATGTGTATTGGTCTATGTACATTACTAGACATCACAAGTGTATATTGTGGGTATTTGTTTGTTTGTTTGTTTTCTTTTATTTATCTTTCTTTAATCCTCTCATCCTCTCCTGTATAGAGCTGCAGTAATGTGCAAATTTCCCCACGTCGGGATCAGTAAAGTTTTGTCTTATCTCATCTCTTATCTTATCTTATTCGGTGCTAACTGAGGCAATGGGAAAATATTTTGTAGGCTACACCATCAAGATGCACTTAGCCTTTTTAAGACACTTACTAAAAATAAAATAATAAAAATAAATAAAACTAAAACCAACATATTGTTTGTAGGACAACATGCTCAAATTTTATTTTAAATCTAAAAACTATCCTAGTTTGACAAAAAGGTCTCACATCAGCTTGTCTGGATAAAAGACAAATTTGTGGCCTCTTTGTTCAACAATTTAAAAAATAAAAATAAAAGCTAAAGCAGCAAAATTAAAAATGATTTTAGTCATTTGTTTCAAGCACACGCAATGACGCTGTGATAGTTGTGACCACGCATTAAAGGCTGACTAAAACAGCACAACAATGTGCTTCCTACTCCCAGATTAAAAAGAACCGCAGACCCGCCGTGTGGCATTGCAGAGTGACTCATCTCTGCCGGGACTCGAACCCGGAGCCTCTGGATTAGAAGTCCAGCGCGCTATTCCATTGCGCCACAGAGACTGCGCCGACGTATTTCCTGCCCGCGCCACGTATTAGATGCATCACATCTCCTCGGATCTCTGCATCCCCGCAGCATCAGGACCGCGCTGAGCCGACATGTCGTGGCGCTGCCGCAGATCGCCGCTAGAGGGAGCCGTTCGACCGCTTTGCTTCGGAGTTCCATCAAGTTAGCCACTGCCCAGGCGGAAGTGTGTTGTTCAGCCGAGCGTGAAAAAATAAAGTCACTGCAATGGTTAAAGCATGCGTCATTTCTCATGAGTGAGAGTTTTATTTTGAAAGTACACAAACAGGAAGCTTAACGTTAACGAGTGTTTCTCATGAAGCCTGAAACGAGAGCAATGGCCGGTGTTCTTTTTTATATTGAAGTCTTTTGTTTCAGGAATACTTGTCCTTATTTCGCTTTAAAATTTATTATTATTACTGTTTTATATTTTAAAACAAAAGTGGTCAGTTAATTTATAATGCAAAACCTTACTGAAAACAAACATTCAACAAAGGAGAGGGTTTATTTTCTATCTTGAAAAGAATTGTTTTTGTAGATATTTTTTGTAGAAAAACAATGTTTTATTTTTCCAAATGTTCTCATGAGCTCTTTTTATTATAAGAAATGCTCCTTGGTGGAAATATTTCTGTAACATCGACACTAGTGTCA